CGGACCCCGGCACCCCAGCCTACCCGGGCCTGCGCTGGGCGCCACGCCACCAGACCGTACGCTCCCCAAGGCCGCGCGTTTCATGGTCCCCGGAGCGCGCCTCGGCCTTCCACGCAGTGCGTCCTGCGCTTCATAGGGTTCTTTGGAGATTAGGATAATGTTAGATTGTTTTTCCCAGGCACGTCTAGACAGGTCACCTGAGGACACTCGCTGGAAAAGAGTTAACTTTGTTCACGCATCGGCCAACAAGGGACGTGCCCTAAATTGAATGATTGGAATGAAAGATGAGTACAATTGGAATGCTTTCTCCTACACGAAGGGAGGCGTCCCCAGTATGTAGCATGGTGCTGTTACATGGCAGTTACTTAAAGGTTTGATATATTCGTGAATTAATTAGTAATTAATTTGGGGACCTTGGATGCACTGGAGGCTAGTTCTGATGGAGATTTTTTCATTTTTTGGCAAATATTTACTGAGCCCCCGATATATGGGAGACACACGGTGCTAGGTGCTGGGGTTACAGGGCTGCGAGAACAAGATTTCTGCCTTAGCGGAGCACACAGTCTAAGAGGAGAGATAGATAATTAAACAAGTAATTACAGGTGTGATACACATCATAAAATGATAACTATGTAGGAACATTACGGCAAGGTAGTTTAGCCTGGTCCAGGGGTCAGGGAAGGCCCCACCGTGGGAAGTTAAACTGAGAGACTTGATAAAGGATAAACAAAACTGACCAAATGAAAGGCGTAGAAAGAGTATTCCAGGCCAGATGGAAGGACTAATACAAAGTCCAGTAATCTTAAAAGGATGACCTCTGGGAGGAAAAATGTCCCATGGGGCTGGGGTGAGAAGAGCAATGTGTCTAGGGCTGAAGAAGTAGGCAGAGGAGTCCTTGAGTAGTGTCGAATAGTTAACATGCTAACTGAAACGTTGGAGGTTCAAGTCCACCCAGAGTTGCCTCGGAAAAAAGGTCTGGTGCTCTACTTCTGAAAATGGAGCACGGTTCTACTCTGACACACATAGGTCACCATGAATTGGAATTGACTCAATGCAACTAGTAAGCCCACTGAGGCCTAGTAAGCTGCCTTAAGAGTTAATTTTTGTTATACAATCTTGTTGGCTCGTTCCGGGAGGGAAAAATAAGGCTTGCTTTTTTCCTATTGGTCTTGGTTTCCTACCGAAGATTTTCACCCGCTTCCCTTTTTCTTAGGCATGCTGAACAAGGAAGTTCCTTCTTGAGGTAACTTCCTGAAGATGAAAAAGTTCTAGGAGTTTTTGCAATTCATTCATTTACTGAGCATTATAGCAAGAAGCGTGATAGAGGAGGCAGCAAATGTCTAAAGGGAGACAGAAACCAGGAAGCCAAAATCGAAGCTATTTGATCAAAGTCAGAAGTCTGTGCATCCTGGGAGTCAAGAGCACTATGTAGAATAATTTTGGAAACGAGAAAAAAATCAACTGGTAAATTTCCGAGACTTTCAGATAGATCAAGACGGAGAATAGAAGCACCCTTTGAAAGCCGCTTTTTAATAGACCTGCATTAAAAAACAAAGATTTAGGAGATTAAACCTTGATGCTTTGATATAAAACGTAAGTAGCACCAACCAGAAAAGAATTCCACCTAAGTACGCCATCAAGTTCCCTCCAGGAAATGGCATGCTGATGCTTGTCAGGTCCCAGTGGTTGGTTGGGTGTTTATCCTCCCAGCACCCTGTGTGGCCAGTTAGGAACAGTACTGACAGTACCTTTAGATTTTAGCCAGCGAGTCTTTTTTTTTTTCCCCCTCCTCCTTCCCCATTATAATGCTTTTTGCCAGTGTAAAAGACACGTGTGTCAGAAATACTGATGCAATGAGACACTAATATCAAGTTGCATCATATAATCTTAGGTGTGGTGCCTCTGAAACTGGTTTTTCTTGAGGTCGTGCTGCAGTCGAAAGGCACCTTGGGTCTAATACCCAAGAACTGGCCCTACTTGTCGGATGACAGAAGTAATTTTTAGTGCGACCACATGCCTCACTTCCACACCACTGTTTTCAAAGGGAAAGCCAGTGTGACTTTCCTAGCCGAAATGGGTGTGCTGCAGACATTTCTCAGGTGTGTCACGCTGCCGCTTACGTAACAAATGTAAAAGTGAGGTGCACCTACCCAGGCAAGCTGAAAGTGACCCCTCCTCCTGCAGAATGTGCTACAAATTTGATCTCACTTTAACTGAGCAACTTCTCTGGGGGCAGAATGATTTGGTGCAAAACCTGGAGAGGGGAAAGGAAAGAAGGTGGCTGAGATTTCTGGGAACTTACTAGGTGCCTAAGGAGTCCCTGGGTGGCACAAACTGTTAAGCGCTTGATTACCAAACAAAAGATTGGGGGTTTGAACCCACCCAGAGGCACGGTGGAAGAAAGGCCTGGTGATCTGCTTCTGAAAAGTCATAGCCTTGAAAACTCTATGGAGCACAGTTCTACTGTGCACACATGGGGTCACCATGAATTGGAATCCACTTGACAGCAACTGTTTTGGTTTGGTTTACTAGGTGCCTGGTGCTGTAACTGAGCTCTTAATACTCAGAACTGTGGGGATGTGGATTTCAGCTGCCAAACTGCCTTCTCAGGACCCACCACAGGCTATTTAGCTTCTTCTGGTCTTCAGTAAAATGATATGTCAGATCAGATTGGGCTACATTTAAGGTCCCTTCCAGAGGCATAATTCTGTTCAACCTGGCCACAGAAAGTTAGAAGATGACATTTCTGGCTCATTGTATATAACAATGAAGCCACTGATTATGGGAATGATGGAAAGTGGGTCCTAATGGTCTGTGTAGGTATAATTGGGTTAGGATAGGATGACACACCTCAGATCTACACTGTCCAACATGGCAGCCACTAGCCCCATGTGGCTGTGCTGCTGTTGTTGTTAGGTGCCGTCCAGTCTGCTCCGACTTATAGCGACCCTGTGCACCATAGAATGAAACACTGCCTGATCTGCGCCATGCTCACAATCATTGTTATGCTTGAGCCCATTGTTGCAGCCACTGTGTCAGTCCATCTCGTTGAGGGTCTTCCTCTTTTTTCACTGATCCTCTGTTTTACCAAGCATGATGTCCTTCTCCAGGGACTGATCCCTCCTGACCACATGTCCAAAGTATGTAAGACGTAGTCTTGCCATCCTCGCTTCTAAGGAGCATCCTGGTTGTACTTCTTCTAAGACAGATTTGTTCATTCTTTTTGACAGTCCATGGTATATTCAATATTCTTTGCCAGCACCACAATTCAAAGGCATTAATTCTTCTTCAGTCTTCCTTATTCATTGTCCAGCTTTCGCATGCTTATGAGGCGATTGAAAATACCATGGCTTGGGTCAAGGGCACCTTAGTCTTCAAGGTGTCATCTTTGCTTTTCAACACTTTAAAGAGGTGTTTTGCAGCAGATGTGGCTGTTCAGCACTTGAAATGTGGCTAGTCTGAATTGAGGTGTGCTGTAAGTGTAAAACACACACTGAATTTCAAAGACATAGTACAATAAAAAGGATATAAAATATCTCAATAATTATGTGATTGCATGTGGAAATGACAGTATTTTGGCTATATTGGCTTACTGTAATATTAAAATTAATTTCACCTGTTACTTTTTACTCTTTTCAATGTGGCTACCACAAAATTCAAAATTCCACATTTAAAATTTTGTACCACAAATTTAAAATTAGTACATATTTAAGAATGTGCAGCTCACATTCTATTTCTATTGTATTCTAGCTGGAAAACGAGTAATTTGCTCAGAGCCCAACATTTTCTTCTTCTGGGCTCTCGTTTCCCCCATCTGCAGAATGGCAGGATGGAGTTTGGACTACATTTCTCTTGAGGTTACTTCTGAATTTAATATTCCCCAATTCTGAGAAATGTAGTTGGCGAGGGTGGGGGGTGGTCCTTGTTAGAGTATTTGGAAGATGTTTCTGGGAGATGAAGATCTTATAACCCTATTCCTGCCATTGAATCATGAAATTTTAGAGTCCAAAAGGTCTTTAAATATTATAGTTCTGAACTTTAGGTCCCTATATGACCACCTCCTGGGCTTGGCTTGTGGTTTATTCATCTTTGTTTTTCCAGCAAGCACCCAGGGCAGCCTGGCATGTGCTAAGCTGTCAATATCTGCCTGTTGACCTAAACAGTTTCTAGATGAAGAAACGGAGCCCAGAGAGGCTCTGTGACCCCCGAAATCCACACAGCTGGCTGGTAGTAGAGCCAGGAAGAGCACAGCCCTCTGGAACCAGTGTAGAAAACCCTTGGTGTGGTCCCTAGACCAGCGGTATCTCCATCAGTTGGGTCTTGTTAGAAATACAGACTCTCAAGCCTGACTCCAAAACTGCTGAGCCAGAATCTGCATTTTAGCAAGATCCCCATGTGAGATGCATGCCACCACATGGATGAACCTAGAAAACATGAATACTGTATGGTCTCCCACATGAAATAAGAAAATATACAGAAACCAAAGATTATTAGTGGTTACCAGGGATGAGAGGGGGGAAACCGGGAGTTTTTGCTCAGGGGGCATTGAGTTTATGTTTATGGTGGTGGAATAATTTGGAAAAGAATAGCAACAAAGGTTGCACAACGTGAAGAATGTAATCAATGTCAGTAAATTGTACATGTGGGAATTGTTGAATTGGTGAAGGTTTTGTTGTGTATATTTCATCCTGCAATAAAAATTTTAAAATGAAAAGAATCTAGGGTGATTTTTATGTACCTTAAAGTTTGAGAAGTGCTGCTCTAAGTTATACCATCCACCTTTCCCAAGGAAAGCCATTCATGATTTGTTTCCAGGTGAGGAGGTTTAAGGATGCAGGATGCCCAGACTCACCATGCTGGCTTCATGAAGTCTAAGATTTAAGGAAATTCAACAAATAAT